TCTACACCATACGGGGAAGGCAGCTGTATAGGAATCAGAAAGAGCACAGATTTGGGAGTGGATCAAATCCGACACCGACACCAGAGATACAAATAAATAGAATAATATTGGCAGCATCTGGGAAGCTGGTTAACATTGGTACCTGAATATGCAGAGCTGGCATGGAATCTGCACCTTGTGAGGCACAAAATACTGATTCACATGCTAGTGTGTGGGGCATAAAAAGCTTAACCTCACCTTCCCGCATTCACTGATAGGTAACCGCTAAGTGCCCGGCGTCAGTAAGTACGCATCTAAAAATCCTGCTGGAGTTACATGAGTTACTCTGACTCTTCTCTGAGGCAGAGAAGAGATGTGAGGCAGTGAGGAGAGAGTGGTGGGACAGTTAAGGTAGAATGGGTGTCTAGACCAGGTTACATTAGTCTAGGTTAGGTAAGATTTGTCTAAGCTAGGTTAGATTAGCCTAGGCTAGGTTAGATTAAGGTAGTTCTGGTTCTGTTTGGTTATTGCTACAATTTTCGCCGGGGCTCTCTGCGCTGCTAACGGAACACAATGTAATTATTTTTGGTCCCTGGATAGTAAGCATTATTTCGTAACTGCTTATATCCCAAACATCCAAAAAGTGGCTATTATTTTTCCCTAAAACTTTGCTTTTGTAACCAGGACAATGATATATTTTGAAATGTACCAATTTGTAACGAGAAAAAACGTGCAAATTTGTGTGTTTTCGTTCAATAAAATCAGATATATACAACATATGATTCAAAACTGACTTGTATTTATACTAAAATTATAACAAATTACCTGATTTTTTTTTGATTATCTGTAAATCTCTTTCACGAATCAGGTCCCAAAGTTAGTCTCCTCCGAGTAAACTTCCATTTTTTCGTTGAATGGACTTTTTGAGGGGCATCCTGCAGCCCATTGTGCCATTAATCTTTACCAGTCTCTCAACCAGCTCCACACAGTTTTGGCTTTGCGATTGCTCAGGAGGCCAGGAATCACTGTATAAAACTGTTCCAAGCTGTTTTCTCCTTCCTGGCGAGCTTCTTGGGGAAGTCCTTGCACTCCAGGAACTTCTTTATCTGTGATGCGACAAAGAACCTGGCTTCGACCTGTGCCTCAGACGAGATTAGGGAAAAAGTCCTAAATGTGCTTAAAGCCTACTAACTCCTTTTCAAGAGTCGTGACGAACTGTTTCTTAAGGTCCAGTCAGATGTGCAGTGGAGGCATTAGCACCTCTGGGGTCCACCAGTGCCTCCCTTTTAACGTTGTTCCTCCATACAAAGAGGTCCACTGTTGCCAGTCCCACCTGTGGTAGTGGTCTTTGGTATCTCTGCTCTCCCAAAGACAAAGACCGTAGAAAAACGTTGATAAATCTGCCTTGGAGACCCATCAGGATGCTAACATTTTGAAGTCTCTGTTGACCTCTGAAGCATGCTCATTATAAGGCATCCAGCAGTCACAAAAGCAAAGTTTGTGGGAAACTCCTTTTTTTTTAACCATTTTCTAAACTTTGGAGGCATAAGTAATTAGGAAGTAACACTACCCAAGATCAAAACTTGTCACAGTACTGCATATGCTCACCTTACCCCCATGAACAGGTACAGTCGCGGCAACATCAGCTTGAGTGACGGGCTCAGTCTACGAGCTGGGGTGCTGGCCACACCTGGCTTCTTCAGACCTGCGTATGAGAGTCGCAGCTCCCTGGGAGCCGACAGTGACGACCTCCGACAGTACCGGGATGTTGCCTTATGAGTCTACCCTGAGCACCGCCAGCCCGCAGCTGTATGGTTCCTGTCACCAGGAAGTGCACAGGCTTAACAAGTACCTGGCCTCAGCAAGCACCGGCAAGTACCGGGAATTACTGGGGCGTTAGCAAGTACTGGACGTTAGAAAGTACCAGGAAGTACCTGGCCACAGCAATGTATACTGTTCAAATTCTTTAATTACCAATGACCTAAGGTGCCTAATATACAAAGATACATATATTTAAAAACAAAGTGTATAAGTACATGTGTGTGAATTTAATATAAAACCTAATTATAGGACAAACATTAATTGTTTGTAGTAATTAGAGAGAGATTTATGATGCATTGTGGAATATAAAGCCTGATAAACATCACTGAGTCCACATGAATCTCTGCTAACGTTTACGTGTGTGTATAAATATATATATATGGAGACATTGTATATGGTATGGAGACATTGTATATTTTAGGCTGATAAGAGAGATGCGTTAAACAACAAAACAGAACACAGATGAGCCTCGTTTAACGTCGTGGTTGGGTTCTTGAAATCCGTGACTTTAACTGAAATGACGTAAAGTGAAATAGTGGACCTTATAGGCCTATTGTTGCAAGTAAGGCCTACTTTCCTTGGATATTGGGAAAGATGTACTTTTCATACAAACTTCACCAATTATATGTATTAACATTTATGCATTGTACTTGATTTGATTAGTTTGATAATTTTTCTCGCCTAATATTATGGTATTGTTAAAAAAAGGTAATGAAATGAAACAGACATTTAATTGTGATCTTGAACTTATTCATTGTTACATACCATATATTGGACATGACATAAATGCGCATTTCTCTAGTGAGTGGTGCGGCTGTTGTGGTGCGGCTGTTGTGGTGTGGCTGTTGTGGTGTGGCTGTTGTGGTGTGGCTGTTGTGGTGTGGCTGTTGTGGTGTGGCTGTTGTGGTGTGGCTGTTGTGGTGCGGCTGTTGTGTGCGGCTGTGGCTGTTGTGGTGTGCGGCTGTTGTGGTGCGGCTGTTGTGGTGCGGCTGTTGTGGTGCGGCTGTTGTGGTGCGGCTGTTGTGGTGCGGCTGTGGTGCGGCTGTTGTGGTGTGGCTGTTGTGGTGCGGCTGTTGTGGTGCGGTGTTGTGGTGGCTGTTGTGGTGTGGCTGTGGTTGGTGTTGTGGTGTGGCTGTTGTGGTGTGGCTGTTGTGGTGTGGCTGTTGTGTGTGGCTGTTGTGTGCGGCTGTTGTGGTGTGGCTGTTGTGGTGTGGCTGTTGTGGTGCGGCTGTTGTGGTGTGGCTGTTGTGGTGTGGCTGTTGTGGTGTGGCTGTTGTGGTGTGGCTGTTGTGGTGTGGCTGTTGTGGTGTGGCTGTTGTGGTGTGGCTGTTGTGGTGCGGCTGTTGTGGTGCGGCTGTTGTGTTGCTGTTGTGGTGGCTGGTGCGGTGTTGTGGTGCTGTTGTGGTGCGGCTGTTGTGGTGCGGCTGTTGTGTGTGGCTGTTGTGGTGCGGCTGTTGTGGTGTGCGGCTGTTGTGGTGTGGTGTGCGGCTGTTGTGGTGTGGCTGTTGTGGTGGGGCTGTTGTGGTGTGGCTGTTGTGGTGTGGCTGTTGTGGTGTGGCTGTTGTGGTGTGGCTGTTGTGGTGTGGCTGTTGTGGTGCGGCTGTTGTGGTGTGGCTGTTGTGGTGTGGCTGTTGTGGTGCGGCTGTTGTGGTGTGGCTGTTGTGGTGTGGCTGTTGTGGTGTGGCTGTTGTGGTGTGGCTGTTGTGGTGTGGCACACCACATCAGATTGAAGGTTTGCAGTGTCCTCCATATTATGTCTTCTCGCATAAAAATCCTTGTGTCATCTGCAAATAATACAATACCATAGCTTGTGTCCTTGTCTATGTCGGATAATGAGGATGAGAAAAAGTACCAAAGGAAGTAAGATACCTTGGAGGACTGAGCTTTTCATGATTGATGGTCTGGCTTTTACTTACTATAACACTCCGTTCTGTTACTTAGGAAATTGAAGATCCAGCTTCCTATTTTTCCATTAATTCCTATTGAGCACATTTTATGTGTAATAACACAATGTTCACATTTGTTGAACCCATTTGCGAAATCTGTGTATATTACGTTAGCGTCATGTTTCTTACCAGGCGTCTAAGGCCGTGCTATAGTGCTCCAGTAAATGTGACAGCCAAGAGCGCCCTGTTCTGAAACCATGTTGTCCAGGGTTATGTAGACTCTGTGATTCCAAGTGTATTGCTGCCTTATTTCTTGTCACACTTTCAAAGATTTTTATAGTGTGTGATGTTAGTGGTACCGACCTATTGTTTTTTGCCTCCGCTTTATGCCCTTCTTTATGGAGTGGTGCTATCTCCGCTGTTCTTAGTACATAACGGATAACGCCTGTATCTAAGCTCCGTCTCCAAAAAATTTTGGGGCCAGCGAAAGTGTTTTTTTACAACTTTTGTTGAATATGGAGTTCCAGGAATCAGGGCCTAGTGCAGAGTGAATATATATACTGTCTATGGCTTCTTCAAAATCAAGTGAGGTTAGGGTGATATCTGATATGTAATTTGATGTTGGTATAACATTCGTGAAGAATTCGTTAAAGCTATCAATCTTCAATATATTTACTTCTTGAATGTCCTGACTTCCAGGACGAGCGTGTGTCTTGCTTTCCGACCGCCCCTCGCGGTCACCTGTCCCTCAATAGAATTCTTGGTGACTCGGATACTTTTGATATCGTTCGCCTTATGCGTTTTTGTTCTCGTACTGGCATACTTGGTGATATTTAGCGCCCTCTGATTATTCTGCGCATTTGATGGTGCTACATAGCCTTCCCGGTTTGGTGCCCTCTTTTGATAATTACTTACTTCAGTATATTTAAGAGCTCATTGAAAACACAGTCGCACTGTTTCCTCAGTATTTCACTCATTTCTTTGTGAAAGTTCCGTCGCCCTTTCGCAGGGGTCCAATAGAAGATATAGTTTTTCTTCTAGATTTTACACAGTAGAAAAAGTATTTCGGATTCCTCTCTACTTCGCTGATGGCCTTTTGCTATCTTTGCCTCTCCTGGATTTTATACGAGTCTTGTAACTTTAGTTCAAACGTATCTGTTTCTCTACATTACTTTCTTTGTCGCTCTTGAGATAAAGTGGGGTGTTCAAATTGTTCCGCAGTTCATTTTCTTCGTCTATAGAAGGAACGTCGTTCTCGTTCCAGTCTGGATCTCTTCCTCTTTTTTTTGTTAAGAAGTCTGCGGCTTGATCATATTACTAGTGACACTAAGCTTATTTTCTCGAGGCACTGGTTTAGGTTTGCATTTTCTAGTTGTTCTTCCCAACTTATATTTGTGAGGTCTTGGTTTATTTGTTCCCAGTTATTCTGTTTATTATTAAAGTTAAATTTGCTGAATTCTCCTCTAGTATTTGGGACTGGCTGCGCAGATCTATTGCCCATGATTGTCTGAACTTTAATTAAATTGTGATCTGAGTAACAGGTATTTATGATCAATATGATCTTGCTCAATTGATCGTTATGTGTGAAAATAAGATCAAGTGTGTTATCTTTTCTAGTTGGGTCTACTATTTGCTGGTTAAGTTCAAATCTGTCTCACATCCGCAGTAGTTCATTTGTGTGTAACTGTTCATTTAGGCTACTTCCCGGTATCCTCTCGTATATAACTGTATTTTCTACGTTCCTCCATTTTTGTGCCGTAGGTTTAAATCCTCAAGCAGGATTATGTTTGGGGCTGAATTTGTGAGGTTTTCTAAACTATTTTATTTTCATTAGTTGTTCATTAAACTTCTGAGTATTTGCCTCCGGTGACTTATATACAAGGACAATATCCACATTTAGGATCACAATTTTGATTATCATCACTTCCACCATATCGTTTGTGGTGTTTAGCAGCTCGGTACAGATGAGTGTGTCTTTGATGTACAAGCTGACCCCACCCTGTGGCCTGTGTTTCCTGTCACACCTGAAAAGATTGATATTAAATTAATTAAAAAGCCTAACATTAAATTTATATTTTTTCTAACAACGTTAAAAATAAAATGGCGTTAACTGGAGCGATGTTAAACGAGGTTCACCTGTATGCTATCTCAGCTAAAGCAAGTTAACAGTGTTAATATGATGCCACACTTGATAGTCCACCTTTAAGGCAATGTGTTATGTAACTTAAGATTTATATTTTTGTATGGTCTGTAAATATATCCCTATATACCAAAAAATATTTCCATAGGTTGTAAAGGCATACACTGCTGCCAAACGAGAGCAGTGTTGCCATCTTTGTCTTCTGGGTAGGTTGCTGTCATAGAAAATGGGAATGTAAATGTTGCCTCAAGGATCCTTACTGCTGTAACTATTTTAATAATAATAATAATAATAATAATAATACAAATAGTAATAATAGGGCATAATCATAATCCCCATGTCATCGTCATTCTTAATTAAATCAACAGCAGCAGCAATAATAATGTTTCTTGATAACTAAAATACATTACGTTGCAATGTATGTACACAATATTATATATATATATTATATATATATATATATATATATATATATATATATATATATATATATATATATATTATATATATAGTTTTTTAGGACACTTAATTCCTCACAGCATTTCATTTCAGATTGTTTTTATTTAAAAGAATTTATACATGATGAATATATAACCTACATTTCACTTAACATTAATCAAACATTGTTGGCAATTTTTATATGAATTTTGAGCTCTACATGATTGGTCTTGCATTGAAAATGACTTGAGATGCTGAACCGAACATAACTGTTGCAATGTGATTCAATCGACATTGTCGACGCTGGTACCCAACGTTAATCCATGATGTCACATCTGACACTTTGACTTTAATACAGACTCGCATCGGTTGACTTCCACACACTATTAATACAACACCTGGCCATATGACGTCACCTGAATGGGGTAAAAATACTACAATTTGGTTCTGAAGAGAGAACAAATGTTAGATCATATAAAGATGTCAACAGCTGTGACAGAACTGTAAGATTGAGCAGTCGTGATTGCATTTTGAAGTTGCTGAACCTCACATGCAGGGTGCATGGCTTTATCCGCTGGCTATACTCGCGGAGTATGAGTATACCTGCAGGAATGAAAAAATTTTGATTACAGTAATATATTCTTATATAAATATCTTAGTTATCACAAAAAAGTATTTACATATTACTTTTAATTTAATGAAAATGCAATTCCTATTTTCTATGGGTGCAAATGCTGGTTAGTAACCAGAATCTCCATCTTGCCAAATATTAACAATAGAATATTATAAAATTATTAACATCACAAAGTATAATATTTCCTTTCAATATTAACAGAGTGAAAAAAGTAAGTGGAATAAATTTAAATAGTTTTGTAAGCCAAAGTGAATTTATAAGTAATTTGAAATTAATTTCAACTATGCCACTGGATAACAGAATATAGTTGCTTAAATTTGTTGAAGCTTCCACTTCACAGCAAGTAAAACTAATCTTTCATTGAATATATTTTTTCAGCTTTATTTTATTCCTGAAAATGTTACTCATGTGAGAAACTGTAGTAACAGAGAAAAGGCATACATCCCTCTCAATATATTTTAATAAACAATCGTTACAGAGAATATACTCTATCATAAGTGCTGAAAACGATAACACAATTACTCGCTTTCTTCTATTTTGTACTATTTTGACTAAATGCTTAATTATTAGGCTAAGTGATAATGTTAATAATAGGGTAGTTGTCATTAAATCCTTCCAGCAACTTTAATTGTAAAATCTACGTATCGAATTATCTAAAACTGTTGATCTAGCAACCCGTCTTCATCAACAAAGGTCAAACGCTCGTTAATCCACACGCGAATGATTGAAATTCAATCCCTGTGAATGACTGAAAAATATTTCACACACGAATCGCAGCATTGTTCACGTTTTGTTCACATTCTCTGCTCGAATTGCACCTCTCTAAGAGC